CATACACAAATTACAGCCACAAAAACTGACCAGCTGGACAGTATTTAACTGCCAGCCTTAAATGATTAATGATGATTGGAGGCTTGGGGTTGATGCCGCTGCAATCCGGATCCTAGTCTTCACCACCAGCCAGGAAAGAGGAGGATCATCTGCCAGGCTTCCCCCGACACAGAGATGGAGACACAGAGAGACACAATACACACTAACATGGACAAGGGACGGCTACGGACATAACAGAGAGTGTGAACCACCAAACTGTCTACTGTCATTTTGGTGATAGCTGACTGCATGAGTATCAGAGAGAAAGGGGGGAGGTGTGTCAAAATCTGTAAAATCTATCTTCCATTACAAAAATAGGATAAATAGGATAGGGGCAGAGAGAAGGGAAGAAGTGCTCAGTGCATGATGGGAGTTCCCCCAGCAGTCTAGATCTATAGCAGCACAGAGTAAGGGATGGTTCAGGACTCACCTGATCCAGAACTAACTATAAGCTTTATCAAAAAGGAACATTTTAAGTTTAACTTTAAATGAAGAGATGGTGTCTGCTTCCTGAACCCAGAGTGGGAGCTGGTTCCACAGGAGAGGAGCCTGGTAGCTGAATGCTCTACCTCCTGTTCTACTCTTACAGACTCTTGGAACCACAAGAGAGCCTGTGTTTTAGGTCGTTGATATATGAAGGGGCTTGAGTGTTAAGGGCTTTAAATATGAGGAGCAGGATTTTGAAATCTATTCTGAATTTTACAGGGAGCCAATGTAGAGAAGCTAAGACATGAGTAATATGATCTCTCCTTCTAGTTCCTGTCAGCACTCAGCATTTTGGGCCAACTGGAGACTATTTACAGTCTTCCTGGGACATCCTGATAATAAAGAGTTACAGTACTCGAGTCTAGAGGTAACAAACGCGTGGACGGGTTTCTCAGCATCCTTCTGTAACAGGATAGTATAATAATAATAATAATTTTCACAATATTGCACAGTTGGAAGAAAGCTGTCCTAGAGACTTGTTTTATGTGTTGGTCAAATGACATGTCCTGGTTGAACATAACTCCAAGGTTCCTCACAGTGGAGCTGGAGGACAGACTGACACCATCCAAGGTAACTTTCTGTTCAGTGATCTCTAAGATGTTAAGGGCCAATTACAAGGACCTCAGTTTTGTCTGAATTTAGAAGTAAGAAGTTTTGGGTCATCCAGGCCTTGATGTTCTTGAGACATCCCTGAAGTTGAACTTAGTGATTAGATTCATCAGGCTTCATAGAAATGCATAACAATGGAAGTGTATGTGGTGCTTTCTGATGATGTTGCCTAAGGGGAGCATATATAAGGTGAAAAGTATCGGCCCAAGGACAGAACCTTGTGGAACTCCATGACTAACTTGCATGTGCATGGAGGGGTCATTGTTGACATTAACAAATTGAAATCTATCTGATAAATGTGATTTAAACCAGTCTAGTGCTGTTCCTTTAATCCCTACATGTTCCAGTCTCTGTAACAGGATCTTATGATCTATGGTGTCAAGTACAGAGACAAGTCCATCATCTTAAAAAGGTCATTAGTGACTTTCAACAGTGCTGTTTCTGTGCTGTGATGCTAGCGATCTTTTTTTGCACGATAATCCCGTATTTTCACATAATTTCATGTCGCATCCCTCCTCTCTGAGGATGCACGATGCACATGATCGAACCCGCGTATAGCAGCAGTGTTACTTAACTGCTCCTCTAATAAAGCATCCTGGCAGGGTTGTCTTCAGACCACTGCTTGCAACTTATACATGAAATAATGCGAATGTAACTGGATGGTTGTTTAAGGTGTATATATTGCATTTCGATTGTGTCCCTCAGTCAGTTTATTTCAGCAGGCATGGTGATCGCGGCAGGTGTGTGGCACTCTCCTTACCAGCACCTGCAGCCGCGTCATCGGCCTCTAATGCGGACCTGTACATATACAGGTCGACTAATAAACTTGGCCATATTTCTAGATATGAGAGCTGCTCCATCCAAAGTGGGATGGATGCCATCTCTCCTAATCAGACCAGGTTTTCCCCAGAAAGATGTCCAGTTATCTATGAAGCCCACATCTTTTGCTGGACACCACCTCGACAGCCAGCGGTGAAATGACAACATGTGGCTATACATGTCATCAGTGGTCACATTGGGCAGGGGTCCAGAGAAAACTAGGGAGTCCGACATCGTTTTTGCATATGCAAACACCGATAAAACATTAATTTTAGTGACCTCCGACTGGCGTAACCGGGTGTCATCACCGCCGACGTGAATAACAATCTTACTATATCTACCTTTATCCTTAGCCAGCAGTTTCAAATTAGACTTGATGTCGCCCGCTGTGGCCCCCGTGATGCATTTAACTATGGCCCCCGATGTCGCTAACTCCACGTTTTGTAAAATGGAGCTGCCTATAACCAGAGTTGGCCTCTCAGCGGGTGTGTCGCTGAGCGGGGAAAATCTGTTAGAAACGTGGAGTGGTTGGTTAGGCTTCAGTTTGGGGCTATGCCTCTTTCAAACAGTCACCCAGCCTCCCGGCTGCTCGGGGGTTGCCGGGGGACGGTTAGCTGAAGCTGCTTGGTGGTACCGCACAGGCTACAGGTGACTTGCTAACTATAGCAGCTACTGACTGTTGGGTGGTGCTGTACCGTGCCTCTAAATCACTGAGCCTCGCCACCAAGGCAACAAATAAACTACATTTATTACAAGTACCATTATCGCTAAAGGAGGATGAGGAGTAGCTAAACATGTGGCACAGTGGGCAGGAGAGAGCAGGAGAGGAGAGAGCAGGAGAGCAGAGAGAAGCCATTGCTATAGCTAGGCTTGCTAGAGTAACTAACAGAAACTGGTAAAACTATCAGATTTAAAGTGTTGCTAAAGTTAAGAGACCTGTTAGTGAACAAACTTAACAAGTCTAAAGATAGTCTAGAGATATGCAGGTAATCGCTGATGTGATAAATATACGAAAATCTTTTTACGTTAGCAGCAGAGAGCACCGTGGCAGTAACACCGATAACCGAAAGTGACAGAATACGCTTACCGTAAAGCAGCGAGTCATGTGCAGTGTCAGGAACAGCTGCATCAGGGACTAGTGTCAACAGTGTGAGAGCTGTATCCTGGCAAATTGCACAAAGCCCCAGGCCCGGGCTCCAGTGGGTCATCTATTAGCCGCAGAGCCCAACCAGGTCCTCGCCATTGACTTCACTCTGCTGGAACCAGCCCAGGATGGGCGGGAACTTGTCATGGTGATGACAGATGTGTTTTCAAAGTACACCCAAGCTGTGCCAACCTGAGACCAGAAGGCTTCTACAGTGGCTGAGGTATTGGTGAGAGAGTGGTTCTATCACTATGGTGTCCCAGCGCGCCTCCACTCTGACCAGGGAAGAAGCTTTGAAAGCGCCTTGGTTCAACAACTCTGTGAACTCTATAGGATGCAGAAGACCCGGACCACCCCTTACCATCCCCAGGGCAATGGGAATTTGTGAGAGATTTAATAGGACGCTGCATAACCTACTGAGCACCCTTCCATTTGACCAGAAGCGCCACTGGCCCAACCATCTTCCCCAGTGGGTGTTTAATTACAAAACCACCCCTCATCAGTCAACGGGTGAGTCCCCACATTTCCTCATGTTCGGGCAAGAACCTCACTAACCTGTTGATTTCCTGCTGGGTCATCTCCCTTAGCTGTCAACAGGGAAGGTGCGTGACTGGGTGGCAGAGCATCAACGTCGGCTTCACCTGGCCTTGGACTGTGTCAATGACCCTACCTGCAGGACCATGGCATTAGAGGGTGCTGTTAGATCCAGGATGTATGGAGCTCAATAACCTATCAAGTGGTCTATTCCATTACTCCAGTGCATAATTTGACCCGGGTGCGGAATGTGCACTGGACGATGTTAAAGCCGGCCTTGGCCCTGCCTCCTCAATGTCCTGAAGAGGAGCCACAGGATTCCTCAGAAAGTGTCTCTCAGGTTAGTGAAGAAGGAGAAGGACTGTGGGTGGTTCTGAGGGGACCAGCCCAGCATTCACCCATTTCAGTGCAACCAAGCTCCCCACCCAGAGAGCATGTAGTTCTACCTCCGGTGGCAAGAGAGGCCTCTTCCCCTGTGCCAGAGGGGGCCCCCAGTAGCGGCTCAGCTGCTCTCAGGAAGTCCTCACCACTGCAGGCCAACACTCGAACCTCCACCGCCTTCCAGGGCCTGTAAGGGGTAAGGCAAACAGGGCTACTGCCTCTCAGGTGTTGTGATTATGTACTTTCCATCGCGCGGGGTATGATTATGTACTTTCCTTCGCGTGGGGCACCATTAAATGGTGTGCTTTTGGGCATTCAATAAATGTGGCTATCAGAGAAATATTAAATATTAAATAATAAGTAAACTGATAAAAGATAAATCGGGGCACCACCCTTCAAAGGAAGGGAATTAGGGAATAAGGGAATAGTCAATTTATTGAATAAGTTTCATGAAATTACTGACTACAAATTTGGAACTCTGATTAATAATTAAATAAATAACTATAACCAAAATTACCACATCAATAGCTAGCAAAGTTGAAGGATATGGAGTTCTTGACAGTATAGAGGTTGGCAAAATTCACTTATGCAACATTAATGAAGACGTGTTTTAAAGAAAAACATTTATTATGGGAATAATAAAAGTATAAACACACAAACTAACAAAAGGTGAACTTACTATATACAGATTTGTTTGCAAGTATGTGTGCGTGTGTGTGTGTGTGTGAGTGAGTGAGATTCAAAATGGAGACTGGCCACTATGAAGACAAAAGGCCCCCTGGAGTGGTGAGACCATGTGGCTGATATCACATGTATGTGTTAAGTTTGTGGAGATGAGTGTGTGAGGTGTTGGTGCCAGGTTAAAGAAAGTAGTTAGATGCATGTGTAGCCGGAGGCTTTCTTCCTCCCGGCCACGGTGTGGCGCTAGGTTAATTGCTGGGCGGCGCCAGTCGACCGCTTATAACCRGGTGAGCGGCCACACCACRCYCTTTCCTTTCCACCCTTTGATCCCTCGGGTGGTGGCTGTGGCGTGGTGTGGTAAGCTCAAGCGCACATCCCCCATACATACAGGTACGGTAGCGCACTTCCTCTTTATCCATGACCAGCGCAATGTGCACAGTGGTGACACCGACTTCCAACTCTTGCAGCACGACAAGTGGCTGACTATATCGGCGGATGGGCGGTCCCGCTTGGAGCTCTGTTGGGGTTGTAGTTCGTGTCCGCAGGTAGGCTGGCGTTATCTGCCTGTTTGGTTTTGTTGTGTCGCTGGGTCCTCTGCYGACTGTCGCTGGTGCGCTTTCTGTCCGCAGCGTCTCCGTGTCGTGGGCGCAACACTCTTGCCCATCGGCGCACCGAAAAGGGATGCAGGCAGGGGTGTGGCGTGTCTMGTGCCACCGCCCCCTGGAATCAGTCCTGCTGTTTTGGCTCGGGGTTATTCTGACGGGACCCGGTTGCTCCGTCCCGTGTTGGTTCTGGCTGGCCGCCATACTCACGGCCTCCCCCTCGTTTCGGACGGCCGGTGGCGCATCACCAGGACAGCTTCGACACCACTCGTTTTAATCACCATTATATTAAATTGTTTTATTTGGTTTTGTTCATTTCTATCAGTTGTAGGATTTATTTTGTTTGGTATTTTCCTTTTTTGTATCTGAGTTGTGTGTTATCTGTTTTCTTGATTGAGTGTTTATTTTATTTTGTTATTGATTTGGACTGTGTGCATGCAATTAATGTGTTAATTAGTAATCATTGTTTATTTCTATTAGGCATAATTTTTGAGCACTTATGGTATTATTTTAACTTTTCCTTTTGTGTTGGACAGGTGCTGTGGGCCCCCAGCAGCAGCCCAGATTCCCTGGTGGTGGTGTTCATCACGATCCTCTTTTTAGGTGGTGTGCAGTGTCATGGGTGTCTAAGTTGTGATCCCTCTTCCCTCTTTGCTCCCCTGCCGCGGTGGTAAGCCCCAGCCCTGTCCTTCTTCCTTATTTTCCCCGGAAGTTAACATTTATTGTTTATTCGTGTATTGTGCAATATACATTTTAATTGTAATAAAAATATATTTTTATATAGAACGCTCTCTGCCCTCTGTGGATAATTGGATGTGTGCGACCTTATTTTATTACTTCATTCATTTTCTAGGGGTCAAATTCCCCTAGGTGGCGTTGTTGAGCAAAACTATAACCCAGTCTGCCAGACATGCAAAGAAAGTGATCAGCATAACAGAACTAACATTAACTTTCAAATAACAAATTACCAAATATTACAACACAAGTCAAACTTACAAACATCACATTAAATTGAAATAGGATTAAACAGTCCTTTGCTTGGCCTAGCGTAATAATAAAGCCCAGTTGTGTTACCCGTCCATGAAAAAGAGGGAAAGGTCCTTTTTGGATGTGCAGTTTGAAGTCCAGTGAAGTGGTCTTGTTGGTTTGTGGCTCCTGTTGTGCATCTGCTGGTSAGACCTTGTGTCGTGGCCARTTGTGCTGAAGTTCTTAGGCAGGCTCTCRYGTCACTGCCTTTGGAAGGTTTTAGCAGTCTGCTCCAGGCAGGCCTGCTGGAAGTTGAGGAGCTTGTGTAGGGAGGAAGTCTCCCTGGCTGGGAGAGCAGGGCCAGAACCTACTCCACCAGGAGCGGTCAGCAGGGGAAGAGGCAGAAGAGAGAAGAGAGCCAGGAGAGGGGAAACTCAGCTTATATTGGCCTTCTGACCTCATGGGTCATGGGGCACACAGTGACCAATAGTGGTTGAGAGTTGTCTCCAGGAGCAGTTTTACCACCTATGTGTGAAGATGAAGCACCCTGGGAGACTGAGTTCTGGAAGCTCTCCTTTGTCTCCAGAGCAAAGGAGACATGCAGCCAGGCTTTTGACTACACATGTAGGCCCACCTATGGTTCACAGATACCAGGTCCCAACACAGGTATTGGGTTCTAGGAGTATGGCTGCAGCTATTTTTAGACCTTGGTCTTAGTATCAGTTATTTCTGTCTGTAGTTTATTGGTGGGTCACCGATTGCAGGTTGCAGTGTCGGTCGCAGATTCGTCATTTTCCCCAGAGCACCTGTGTGTGAAGTGCGGTGATACACTGAAGCTCTCGATGAAATAAACATCAAACAAAACCCCATTACGATTTAATACATGTCTGTCCGTGTCAACATCACATTAAACAACAAAATAAATCATATGGGTAAAAAAATAAATATAGTCCAAAAATCTTGGACGGGATTCAAAATGATGAGCTGAAGCAGTTTAAGCTTCTGGCCTGATGACGATCTCATTACACCATGGAGCCGCTGAATCAAGTGCTTTTTACTCTGTCAGGTGTATCACACCAAATGTGGTTTGAGGAAACGCCCATGTCATCTGGTAATAGTCTGAACACAGAATAAACGCTGCATATTTATTAACAGGCTTCACAAACTGATGACCATTGTACATAGGAGACACATGGAGTTATGAAGAATACACACATGTGGCCAGCTCCACGCAAAGTGCCTTTGTGTGAAGCTGGTGATCAATTACAATGCACACACACCAAACACCTGTCACATGAAAACATGCCTCACATGAACAAGGTGGAAGCTCGCACAGTGTTTGTGTGAGTAAAGTTGATGATCGTGCTTTTGTTGGATGTGTTTAGCTTCATGTGTCCTACGACTCTCGCTGCTGGTTAAAGTCAGCCGACGTGATCTTAAAAGATGTGCTCGATGTTCTCGACCATGAGGTTCAGTCCTCGGAGAATGAAAACAACCCAAACGCTCATCAGAACACGGTGTTTGTTTTTCGTAGTTTCTGCATTGCGAGTGTTGTTTATCTGTGTGTGATCCACAGATGATCTGTCTGAACTGTGTGTTGAACATGACACATGTGTGACGAGGCAAATTTGGAAAATGAACTAAACGTCTTCATTGTCGAACAAMGTGTTGTGTATTTCTTCTCTTCTGTCAGATGACTACGTGCTTTGTTGGAGCTGTGTCACGCGAAGGAGTAAATAAAGTACCCTGTGTAACTATGACAACTCTGGCAAATTATAATAAAAATAATAATWATTATAACTTATTTGTATTTTGTAGTTTCACGAACAATGTGGTGTAGCAGGTAATTGAGGACGTTTCAGGAAACATCATTCAAAATAAAAGTGCTATTTCGTGTCAGGATCGTCTTCAGACAAAACCACTTAGTTGTGGGGCTGAATATAAATGTGAGTAAAATCCCACCATGGGAGTAGATACACTGTGCTCCACATAAAAACATCTCACGTAAAGGTGGTGACGCTACCCACTATTTTTCAATTCAATTTTATTTATATAGCGCCAATTCATAATTTACATTATCTCAAGGCACTTTACATTTAAAGGCCAAGACCTTAAAACAATACTATGCCACTGATCTGACTGAGGAGCATTATCACCTTTATGTTCTGATGACTGGAGTCTGCGAACCACTCACCATGTGTTATTGTTTCAGTGAATACGCCCAGGTTAACACTCACTGTACACTCGGTATTATTGTTCATACGTCACACATTTGGACCCTGCTGCACCCGTGTGTTTAACACAGTACAACATCATGAAAAATTGCTATAGACAAGGAAAAGCCATTTATATAAATCAATCAAGCTACCTGAAAAGCATGTGGTTACGGAAGCCCTAAAGGGTCATACATACATACATTTTATTCCACCCGTTTTCCTGTGATAGCGAGATAATTTTCCTCCGTTTTCCCGTGATAACGAAAATTATCTCGTTATCACAGGAAAATGGGTGGAATCAAATGTATGTATGTATGACCCTTTAGGGCTTCCGTATGTGGTATATAGCCAGCTACATGTTAATTCAATGTAATATGAAGAGCAGAGTGGTGTGAGTGAATTTAGGTAAATTAAAGACCAGTCCAGCTGCTGCATTCTGGATGAGCTGCAGTAGTTGGATAGCACTAGCGGGTAGACCAGCCAGGAGGGAGTTTTAGTACATAAATGATTTATTATTTGCACATAGGACAGTAAAAGTCATCATCCACTCCTGGTTGCCCAACACAGCTTAAATGAAACCAGCTCTCACACAGTGTACAAGCAATCTGGAAGTAGAGAAAAAAAATGTATGGCAGTACCATAAGTAAGACATGCATCAACTGAAAGTGCTTAAAATCTGCCTTACCCATTGCACATCTGTGTCATACACACCACATACTCGACATATAGATATATATAGATAAATCATCTGTTCATTACACATAGTTATGTTATTTTCTCAAATAAATAGCTCTTGTTTTACAATAACTAATAAAAACAAATAAAACACCAACCTGTTCCTTGGATCAGCCGTTGACCTATCTGCATTCTTTGATACAGGATAGTAGGCTTATTAAAAATGACATCCAACTCGTCCCCTTTTAAAATCATGTCTGCTCACTGGAACAAGAAACAAGTAGAAAACACAGATGCAGAAACGGTCCAACCATTTATTTTTGAAATGATTGATTCAAAGCACATTCACTTACTTTACACACAACACCACATAATGTGGCATCCTCTTGATGAGTGTGTGTAATAGTCTCACAAGACCAGCGGGAGCAGTTGAGGCCTCGCTGCATCATGAAAGCCCTGTGTAGCATAATAAAAATGAATAAAACTTCCATTGCCCCCCTCTACCTGGTCACTGCACTGCATTGCATTTTTGTAATGCCTCTTTCTGTGCCCCAAAAGGATCCACATAAACAGAGCGCCTCTCCTTTGGATACATCACCTGGACAAATTAAAGAAGGCAAATAAGGAACAGGAGCTGTATATTGTGTTTGTAGCCACAGCCCCTTACTGTTAGTGTCCAGTGCTGGTTTTCACAGACAGCTCCAACCATAATGTCATAGTCCAGTGGATCCACCTGCATTTATGCAATATAGTACACAGAAAACATTTTTTCACATGAGCAATCTGCTCTAATATTGAGATGCATAATAAATAAACGTAGGAGAAAGAAAACAAACATATAGGCCTACAAGTGAAGGAATAAAACAATCCTCCTGAATTTTCAGTGTAATCACATTTATCACTTACCTTCCTCAAATATCAGTCATCTGGAAAGAATCAACTAAAAACCCCTGGCCTTTGCCTCCCCCACTGAATTGCCTCAGACAAAGTGTAGGGTAGGCGTTTATGATCTGTAATGAAATCAAATTTTTACCCACATGTGAATGCAAAATAAAATGCTGAAACCTTTCTTGCTTACCTCACTTACCAGTGTCCCTGGAGAAAGGTGTTCCCGGAGGTTGTCTGTGAATAGACGATATGGACCAATTTTGCTCCACAACACCTCTGGTGCTTGCCCAGCCCAGATTGTCTCTACTACTATGCAGAAAAAAGTTGACAGATTACTTGCAATAAACATTAGCAAAATAATTGTACTCATTATTTGCTATTACCTGCTTCCAAAGTGTCTTAATGGACTTTTGTGCCAAGTTTAGCAGAGACAAACACTGGTGAGACGACTGGAGATGATGGTGAGACGGCAGGAGGTGAAGGTGAGACAGTGGGAGGTGAGGGTGAGACGGCTGGAGATGATGGTGAGACGGCAGGAGGTGAAGGTGAGACAGTGGGAGGTGAGGGTGAGACGGCTGGAGATGATGGTGAGACGGCAGGAGGTGAGGGTGAGACAGCCGGAGGTGAGGGTGAGACGGCAGGAGATGAGGGTGAGACGTAGATGGCTGATGGTAAGTCAGTAACCCATTTGTGGGGGATACGTGGCGTGGGCTCAATTTATCGATTTAGTTGGTCGATGTTGACCTTGTGAATCATTTTGCTTTTCTCTGTTACCAGGTCAGCACTTTTCCCCTGTAATTGTATTATAGTGAAGGGGCCGAGCATGGAGGTCTCCACCCCCCCCCTCCTTTGCTCCTGACGTTTATTTGACCTCAAAACCTTGTCTCCAACTTTGAATCCATCATCTTGGCCCATCTCCTCTCTCTTTCTCTTGATCTTCTCCCTCATCTTCACCATGTTGGCTTGAGCCATGGTGTAGTGCACTGGGAGGTTCTGTGTTCCCGGAGATTGA